CGTACCTTGGCAGAAATCATGAAATTTTGGCTTTGAAATTGAAAATGTGACTGATCATGCGAAAAAAAAAATGCTTTTTATTTAAGGAAGGTGATCATATGAAGCCATTTATTATCACATAGGTGTTTGGCTCCTTTTTAAATCCTAATGATACCAGAAATTGCCCAGATGGCCCTGATCAAATGTTGACATACCTTGAAAATATGGGCTTGGTACAGACACACAAGCTGAAACACATGGATTAAAATGGCAATTAAAGGTTAACTTCCCACATCTGTGGCTTTTTAATTTGCAGTTTGTGTCTGTTATAAATAGTCAGAGTATGTTCGCTCTCATGTGGATGCACTGAGCAGGCTAGAACTTCTTTTGTTTGCTCTCTTTTCAGTGGTGCATCATAATGGATGCAAGTGTGTGTATGAGCTGTTGATCATCGATTGTCGAGGAACAGTGACAAGAGGTCTGTATGTAAACAATACATATCTCTCCCCTATCAGCTCCAGCACAGGGTTTTATATTGCTGTGCATAGCAGAGCAATGCAAAGCTGCATGCTTACACATTAAAACACAGCACATAGCTGTTTGTTTTAATAACCCTTTGGTTGCCCCAGATGTTATCCCCTTCCTGCCCAGTGTCAGTACAGTGGCAGTGCTTTTTATTAGCACTGATCACTGTATTGGTGTCACTGAGGATGTCCGTGACAGTCAGTTCCCCCCCAGTGTCAGAATGCCCACTGCAGTTCCACTATGTCGCTGATCGCCACCATTACTAGTATAAAAAAAATAAAATCCAGTATATATACCACCATTTGTAGACGCTATAATTTTCACATAAACCAATTAATTTACACGTATTCGGAATTTTTTATTTTTAGCAAAGACATGTAGAAGAATACATTTTGGCCTAAATTTTGATTTTTTTTTTTTTTTTTTGGATTTTTTTATTGGATATATTTTATAGCAAAAAGTCACTTTTTTTTTTTTTTTTTTTTTTTTTTTTTTTTTTTTTTGTTTATAGCGGAAAAGATAAAAAAAAACCCGCACAGGCGATCAAATCCCTCCAAAAGAGAGCTCCACTTGTGGGGAAAGAAAGGACATATATTTCATTTGGGTGCAGCATTGCATGACCGCGCAATTGTCAGTTAAAGTAACGCAGCGCCATATCGCAAAAAATGGCATGGTCAGGAAGGGGGTAAAACCTCTGCAGAGCAAGTGGTTAAAGTGATTTTGTGTGTGTATTTATTTATTTAAATTGAATACTTCGCTGCTCTGTGCAATGGTTTTGCACAGCACAGCCCCACTGGCTCTGTGTGTCCATAGACACAAAGAACATGGCTCATCCTAGGCCGCAGCTCCCTCCTCACGGGGGCCAATGGCTGAAGGGAGTTTTTTTTATCTACCTTAATTCTCTTCATTAGCGTAAAAAAAACATTGTTTTCTGCTCCCCCACAGTCCCCGAATACTTACCTGAGCTTGATCTTAATCCACCGCTATCGATCACAACCAGTGAGAAGAAAGCTGGGGATGGGGCGGAGCTGTGCTCCCTGTGTCAATGGGCACACGGAGTGCAGTTTGGGATTGAGCCCACATGAGTGCTCCCATAGCAAGCGACATGTTATGGAGGCACACTGAAGGGGGGAGGAGCCATGCGCACTGGGGCTGCTTTGTGCAAAACCTTTGCACAGAGCAAGGTAAGTATGACTAATGTAAAAGAAATACCTATTGAATCACTTTATTTTCAAAGGTGTACTTTGAAAAATCTACCTACTGTCTTGAATTTTTTTTTTTATAACCCAACACCAAAAAATGATACACATTACAAGTTCATAAGCTTAAATAATGAAACCGGAGGTAATAAGGACTCTAACCTTAGGTTCACTCTGCGAATTTTAGTGCCTTTTCCAGTTTGCAGAAACGCACTACAGTCCATTTAGATGACTTCCTATGGATCTAGGTCACATCTGTGCATTTTGAGCCGATACGTTTTTGGAAAGGGTTGGGGGCATTTTTTCCTGCATCAGATTGTGTTTTGCATGTAATAGACTTCAAAGGACCCACACCAAAAACGCAAATGTTGCGTTTTAGATGCATTTCGCGGGGGGTTTTTTTGCCAATAGGGAAGTATTGACTTTGATGTGACTTTACACTCTCTGGCACTCAAGTAGCATCCAAGTCATATCCATCCAAAGTCGTGTCAAAGTGACATCAAAGTCAATACATTCCTACTAGCGAAAAAAAAAAAGGCGAAACACATCAAAAGTGTGTGTTCAAAAATGAAAAACGCACCATGATATCGCCCAATCTACATAGATGTGAGCCTAGCCTTAGTTGGCCTACAGGGACAGGCAAAGTTCCTGTGCCTGTACACAGTGTAGCAGAGCGGCATATTTTTCACCCCTACCTCCTTCCTGTCACTGGTTGTTAAAGATGCTGTCAGCTTCACACCCGATAACCTCCTACCAATCAGTATAGTCATAAGACATATGTGGAGGATGGATATGTGGTTAATATTCAGTCTGGAGGTACCATCCTTGTATACTAAATATAACCACAGCAATTGTAATTGGGACTATAAGTGGACCTCCTGAGGTATAGCACAAAAAAGAAATTACATAAAAACCATAATCTATTATTGCCATATACATATATCACAAACATCATAAAAGATTTTAAATCTTATATATGAATGTCGCTTTAGGTATAACCATATATCTGTTCCTAAGATCGTAGGCTTAAATGGCTGACACGTTTCACGGAAAAAATGCTTCCTTGGGGCCTTGGATCTTATTATACACAAACTAGGAGAAAATATATATAGTTAATAGCAAATAAATGGATATGCAGCGCTGAACAGCAAGAGAAACTAATACAGATAAATTAATGCAGGAGCACTAATAAGAGTGCAACGTTAAGTGCAGTGAAAGGTGATGGAATTATACCTACATAACGGTACTAAAAAATCAAATCATAAGATAATAACTTGACTCACCCCTTTGACAAAGTGCTTATTGCACGAAACGCGTCAGAGGAGCCCTCCAGACTGACGCTTTGATGTGTATGGCCAGCAGGAAGGCCACTTACAACTTCATGTGAGGTTTTTTCTACCCTCTATTTACCTGGATTTACTTCAATTCAAAATAAACCTACTACACTATGAGAACCATTTTGTCCTTTGGCTTGATAATTGAGAGCCTCATAAGGTGGAGCCATCTGGGAACGTGAGCCAATATTGAAGTGCTGCCTGATGAGCCTGTGAGCAGAGTGAGACCCCCGAGTGTGGGCCAATATCTTGTGTGTCCACTGCTGAGTCTGATGACCATACAGCCCCAGACCAGACCCTGATGATTCCACCATTAAAGATATATATATATATATATATATATATATATATATATATATATATATATATAGCGCACTTTATATGTACTTCTGGTAAGTGCATCACTTTACCAGATTCTGGCACGATATTACAAGTCACGAAGCACGGATTATCACATCCTATGGATGTTATTATCTTATGATTTGATTTTTTAGTACCGTTATGTTGGTATAATTCCATCACTTTTTGATTTCATTGCCCATTGCGCTCTTACTAGCGCTCCTGCATTAATTTATATTAGTTTCTCTTGCTGTTCACCGCTGCATATCCATTTATTTGATAATCTTTGAGGTGTTGAGGATTTACCTTTATATGCTAGCTGCTCCTTTTAGGGATTTATACATTGCGCTCACATTATCTCTTTATATATATATATATATATATAGTTAATAACATCATATAACAATCACAGCACTATAAGCAATCATATCTACCAAACCAATTTTATGACACAAACATAGTTGGTATAATTAACCCCATTGGTAAGTAGCCATCCTGAATTGCGAGGCAAAATCAGAAAGGTCCCAAAGAAAGAATGGAGGGGGAAAAATTTTTTTTTTTTTTTTTTTAAATAGTTCTTAAAAGACGATAAACGACATCCACGCATTTGTTACCTTTTATATTCACATGTACGACAATGTGTTTCCGACGATCAAAGCCTGCTGGGCCCGTGGGGAGGGGTTTTAACCACTTGCTCTCCAGAGGATTTACCCCCTTCCTTACAAGCCAATTTTTTGCGATAGGGCGCTGCTTTACTTTAACTGACAATTGGGCAGTGATGCAACGATGCACCAAAATAAAATTGACGTCTTTTTTTTTTTCCCCACAAATAGAGCTTTCTTTTGGAGGTATTTGGATTGCCTCTACGTTTCTTATTTTGTGCGCTATTAAAAAAAGATGGACAATTTTGAAAAAAAAATAATAAATTTTCGACTTTTTGCTATTAAACATATCCAGTAAAAAAATTGTATAAATCTAATTTAATCATAAATTTAGGCCAAAATGTATTCTTCTACATGCCTTTGCTAAACAAAAATCCCAATATGTGTAAATGAATTGGTTTACGTGAAAGATATAGCATTTACAAATGGCGGTATATATACTGGATTTTTTTTTTTGGGTTACTAGTAATGGCGGCGATCAACAACTTATTGTGGGACTGCGGTGGACATTCTGACACTGGGGGGAACTGACTTGGTGTCACTGACATCCCCAGTGACACCAATACAGTAATCAGTGTGACGATTGCCGTGTCAGACCCCTGACCTTCTCACCAAACTTGTGACCGGAGGACTAGCCAATCTGAAACCGCGATGTCACGTGCGTAACAATGCCACGCCCAGCTGCACCCTGCACAACGATTTTCCAGCTCACTGGACCTCCAATCGATGTACCGGCAGCCTGAATGCGATTGTTACTGGGTCAGGTTAACCACTTGCCTACCAGGCACTTATACCCCCTTCCTTACCAGGCCAATTTTCAGCTTTCAGCGCTGCCGCACTTTGATTGACAATTGCGCGGTCATGCAACATTGTACCCATATGAAATTTTGATCATTTTTTTCTCACAAATAGAGCTTTCTTTTGGTGGTATTTAATCGCCACTGGGCGCTTTACTTTTTGCGCTATAAATAAAAAAAGTGCAAAAAATTTGAAAAAAAAAAGTTTATTTGTTTCTTTTATAAAATTTTTCAAACAGGTATTTTTTCTCCTTCACTGATGTGCGTTGATGAGGCAGCACTGATGGGCACTGATAGGCAGCACTAAAGGGCACTGATAGGCAGTACTAATGAGGTGGCACGGATAGGCGGCATGGATATGCAGCACTGATAGGCGACACTGATTATGGGTACTGATAGACGGCACTGACTGGCATCACTGCTGGGCACTGACTGGCGGCACTGACTGGCACAACCCCTGGGCACTGACTGGCAGCACTGCTGGGCTGCACAGGTGGGTGGCACTGGTGGGCACAGGTGGGTGGCACTGCTGGGCACATGTAGGTGGCACTTCTGGGCACAGGTAGGTGGCACTGCAGAGTGGCACAGGTGGGTGCACTGCTGGGCACAGGTGGGTGCACTGCTGGGCACAGGTGGGCGCACTGCTGGGCGGAACTTGCGGGTGTCACTGCTGGGCACCGATCATCAGGGCACTGATCATCAGTGCCCTGTTGATCGGTGCCGATCCCCGCTCTGACAACTGCCGGTTCTCGGCAGTACTTTCCTCACGATCTGACAGCGTGAGGAAAGTGCAGCCGAGAACCGGCACTTGCATTTCCCTGTGATCAGCCTGTCATTGGACACCGTTGATCACGTGGTAAAAGGCCGCTGTGATTGGCCTTTTACCACATCACGTGATCAGCTGTGTCCGTAGGACACAGCGATCACGGAGATCGCCGGGTGCGCAGGAGAGTGCGTTCTGGGAGGATGTCATATGACGTCCACCCAGAACTGGCCGGCTGCGGAGAAGCCGTCATTCGGCTATGCGCGGTCGGCAAGAGGTTAATTACGCAATTAACCCTTCACACTGCCACCACCTCCTTTTTGTACAGAGAAAGAGGAAACTCGGTAATACCAGCAATAACACTATAATGGTTGAGATAATCGTCTGTATAGGACTGTCTCTGCAGACAGGATATACAGAGGGTTAAACAAACACGGTAGTGCTCTTTTAGAGGCAGGAATTCGTAAATTGCATTAAGGAGCTTTAGAAACAGTTCAACACTTTCAGAAAGAAAGATTTATTACTAAAAGGTCAAAAGGGTGCAATAAAAATATTTACAGAAAAAAGATGTAACCAATATATATATAAATATACAGAGAACAACAGCACAGCAAAAAGGTAACAGAAAGGAGGTTAAAGGGTTAAAGTACTTGCCATTCAGCCTTGGGTTAAGCAGATCAAGTTTCAGAGCGAAAGGGCAGGTCTCCCAAGTTGGTTCTGATGTTAAAAGGGAGAATTTTTCAACTTCACTCTTAGGCCTGACAGCCCATTTTGTAGTTCCCCAGCAGGGGGTGTCTCTAAAGCCAAGGACCAATGCTTCAGTTAGGGTGGGAAGGTCTGAGCATAGACCTAAACTAGAGCCAAAATCTCTCATAGTTCATATTTTGGCTCATAACTTTTCCTATGCACAAGTGACATTCCACCCGTGGTCTGTGGACATGATTGCTACAATCAGTGCTAATAAAAAGCATTGACACTACTAATGGCACTGGGCAGGAAGAGGTTAACATGTGGGGCAATCAAAGGGTTAACTGTGTGCTGTGTGTGTGCACACACTGCAAGCACACTGCTTTGTATGGCTCTGCTATGCAAGCCATACAAAGCAGTGTGCAGGAGCTGACAGGGGAGAGATCTGTGTTGTTTATACACAGGTCTTTCCCCCGTCAGTAATACTCGGAGACCACTGGGTGCTGGTGGGGAATCACTGCCCAGGACCTGGTGATTGACAGTCGAGGTCACGAATGGTGGTGCAGGTGGGGTGCAATCCGGTACTGCAAAATCACATATATATGTGATTTTGTGCACCCGTGCTGCCCTGTAGCAGTATTTCTGCTATAGGGCAGCGCAGAAGCTGTTAATCGTGGAACTGCATGCTCTAAGCAACACTTTCAAGGGACTGCTGTATAGCTAATGGAAAAGATTAATGTAACCTTTTACTATATATATCAAAAACACCCTAATGGCAATATAGACCTCCCTCCATTTACAAAGGCCTTACCTCAAAAATCAGGATATTATAACTTAACAGGCTTCAAAAACAGATACAACATCACTAGCAGCGCATCTCCATTGAATTACTGAATCTATGACTCCAGCCCCATATTGCCTATAAAGGCTGAATAGTATCCACAGATGTGAGTCTAAAAATAAGGAAACAAAGAAAAAGGGAAGAGACTCTAGTCATGAATCCAACAATAGCCTAAGACTAATGATGTAGGCATCCAAACATTCAACCAAGTAACGGAGGTATCATTGAATCTTAACTAAGATCACAGTCCAATTGCCACACCACCACATATAGAGCACATGGTCAAAATGGTGACAAAGAGAAAAACTCCCACTGGTGGTGGGCTATATATAGTATGTGTTTGAAGTAACCCCTCCCTGAGGCCACCTCCACGCCACGGGGAAGGAGAACCCTATCATCCCCAAGGTGTGGAGGCTCCTCCCCCATTTGGGGGGGGTGGAATACTATCCACCCCTTTCCTGTGGCCATGTTGGTCTCTGGGGCCAGGTACTGCCTTCCCCAACTCCCCTCCTAGCACGGGCGGCCAATGGGGCACGTCCGAACCGTGATATACGTGACCGGAAATGATGCAAAACCCAGTCCCGCAGCCAGAAGTCCCGCCCTCCCCACCTCCCCTTCCAGAATAGGTGGTCAATGGGGCAGGTCTGGGCCGCAAAATCCACGGCCAGAAGTGATAGAGAGTCCTAACAATCAGTGACACTGCAGAAGGAGGAGCCTGATGGGGAAGCTGAAACATTATTGCCCCATCAGGTTCACTTTCACCTTGTAATAGACAGCAGGCAGATTCTATAACCAATAGCAGGCTGTTTAAGTGGCTAAGGATCTGCCTGCTGTGAATCACTGGACCTGATGAAGAATTGGTATCTCTGAATCCCAATCAGGGCTTCTCCCAACCCTTGCTTCCAACGAAATAAAACTGTGTAACAGCTGCAGCAGCAGGAAGAAAGAGATGCCGCAATGGGGCAGAGTGTCTGCATAGACACTTCGGCCTCAGTGCACCTCCACATGTGGTGCTTGCCTCAGGTTCATGTACAGTACATGAATGTATCACCCAAACTGTCATTTGTCACAAGGAGGGACACTGGAATTCTTAAGAGCTCTTAGAAACAATTGAGTACTGTCTGTGATACTTTTTTTATTTGCACTAACATACAATTTTGAGGACAAGCTTTCGGGGAATGTCCCCTTCTTCAAGGTCTAAGCAGTACTATTACAAATCACAAAGTTTAAGCAGAATGTTAGAAGGGATTGAGAAAAAAAAAAAAAAAGGCTACAGATAAGATACATCAAAAGGGAGGGGGGGGGGGATACTACACTCACACAGAGGGGGTCAAGCTTCAGCTAATAGATAGTCATAAAGCTGTCGGATAGTGGTTGAGGAATCCCATGTCCAAATTCAGGCCGTTATCTTTTGTGTCAAATAGAATTATCATTCTTAGTTCAAATGTTTTTCTTTCCTGGATGGATTTGAATTTTCCTCTCAGAACTAAAATATTGAGGTCTCCCATTGTGTGGCCTGGTTGTGTGAAATGGTGTCCTACAGGTGTGCAGAGGTCATCTTCTTTATGTTCCTTGATGGTATGTCTGTGCAAATTCATCCTTGTTTGCAACTTCTGTCCTGTTTCGCCAACATAAGATCCTTTACTGCATTTTCTGCACTGGATAAGGTACACAACATTACTGGAGGTGCAGCTGTATGATCCAGAAATATTGAAGATTCCTTTTGAGTGTCTGACACTTTTTGATGGATTGATTTGGTTGCACAGTTTGCAGCGTTTCTTATTGCAGGGTGTGCTTCCATTATTTGTGACATCATAATCAGAAGGAAGTTTCCTACTGATTAGTTTATTTCTGAGGTTGGGGGGTTGTCTGAAGGCCAGTATTGGGGGTTGCTGGAATATTTCTTTCAGAGTTCCATGCTCTGTTATGATGGGTTGTAAATCTTTGATTATTTTTCTTATTCCTTCTAGTGCTGGGTTGTATGTGGTTACTAGAGGTACACGGTTGAAACACATTAAGAGCTCTTAGACATTCTTGCCCTGATAGCATTGTATACATATATCAATCTCAATCACATACAAGGAATAAAGGTACATTATTTACTTCAGAAAGTTTATTAAAAACACTAAACTTAAATCCTGGCAGGGCACTGAATTGCATCTTATAGAACACCAGTGTTAAAAAAATAGGTCTGTACAAAAATGTAATGATTACAGTATCTCCCAGAAGTGAGTACACCCCCCTCACATTTTTGTAAATATTTTATTCTATCTTTTCATGTGACAACACTGAAGAAATGACACTTTGCTACAATGTAAAGTAGTGACTGTACAGCTTGTATTACTTTGTAAATTTGCTGTCCCCTCAAAATAATTCAACACACAGCCATTCATGTCTAAACCGCTGGCAACAAAAGTGAGTACACCTCTAAGTGAAAATGTCCAAATTGGGCTCAATTAGCCATTTTCCCTCCCCAGTGTCACGTGACTTGTTAGTGTTACAAGGTCTCAGGTGTGAATGGGGAGCAGGTGTGTTAAATTTGGTGTTATCGCTCTCACTCTCTCATACTGGTCACTGGAAGCTCAACGTGGCACCTCATGGCAAAGAACTCTCTGAGGATCTGAAAAAAATAATTTTTACTCTACATAAAGATAGCCTAGGCCAGGGGTGGGCAACTGTGGCCCTCCAGCTGTTGGTGAACTACAAGTCCCATCATGCCTCTGCCTTTGGGAGTTATGCTTGTAACTGTCAGTTTTGCAAAACCTCATGGGACTTGTAGTTCTACAACAGCTGAAGGGCCACAGTTGCCCACCCCTGGCCTAGGCTATAAGATTGCCAAGACCCTGAAACTGAGCTGCAGCACAGTAGCCAAGACCATAGAGCGGTTTAACAGGACAGGTTCCACTAGAACAGGTCTTGCCATGGTCGACCAAAGAAGTTGAATGCACGTGCTCAGCGTCATATCCAGAGGTTGTCTTTGGGAAATAGACGCATGAGTGCTGCCAGCATTGCTGTAGTGGTTGAAGGGGTGGGGGGGGGGGTCAACCTGTCCGTGCTCAGACCATACGCCACACACTGCATCAAATTGGTCTGCATGGCTCTTGTCCCAGAAGGAAGCCTCTAATAAAGATGATGCACAAGAAAGCCCGAAAACAGTTTGCTGAAGATAAGCAGACTAAGAACATGGATTACTGGAGCCATGTCCTGTGGTCTGATGAGACCAAGATAAACTTATTTGGCTCAGATGATGTCAAGCGTGTGTGACGGCAACCAGGTGAGGAGTACAAAGACAAAGACAAGTGTGTCTTGCATACAGTCAAGCATGGTGGTGGGAGTGTCATGGTCTGGGGCTGCATG